CAAATCTGTAATTATTTCTGCATCATTTAGATCTGTTTATTCCAATTAATTTGAAGCAGAATAGATTTATTTTGTGCTCATGTCACCATAGTGAGCCAGATTAAAGGGTGTGAACACATCATAAAGTGAATGTAAATATGAATAAAACAGAAACAACAAAACAACAAACAAAACAAGTGAGGCCTAGAGAACAGGCTTCCTAACATATTAAGTGAAAACAGCCTGTTTTTCTGTCAAAATAAAGGTCAGGCATTAGATAGCTGTTTTTCAGAGACCCATTCAGAATGAACTGGGTTGCGACCCACCAGTAAAGGAAGCATGCATTAGGTAATATTCATATTTTTTCCTTTGACACTTTAAGAAGAAGCAATGTGTACATGTGACCACTCATTATCTGTCTGCTGAACCAAAGACTGATTTCTCTTTTTTTACATTTGAATATTATTTAGAGGCCCAAGAGCTTAAACTATCCAGGAAAAAGAAAAACAGACAAAGAATAGAGGAATAGTAGTCATAAAATATACAAATTGCCCATTTTCGAATCATAATTTCATTCTCTCCTATTCTGTTAATTATGTCTCCTAGAAACTGCATTTATATGGCACTAATTTGCAACAATGTATACATTTTGAAAGAAACATAATGGTGCCCAGATTACATTTACTATTACCATATTGAGAACACTTTGTTAATTAACATACCTGGCAAGTCTCAAATTGTTTATGCTTGAAGTATCAGCTAAATGTTCACTGACACTGTAATTAATTTCTTTTCCTAAAATATCCACTCTTGCAACACAGTATCAGCGAGTAGCAACTCAAACATTGAGTGGCGTTGGTTGATGACTCAAAAAGTCAAAAGTGATTAGAAACATGAGACACAACATTTTCATTAATTAACATTTAACCAAATCCAACCTCTTCTCCCAACCAAAGCACTTTTGCTGTCTAAACCTAACCACTTGTAAAATTTTGGATTTGAACCTACACCTATCATGCAACGACATCCGTGCTACTTAGATGTGAAACATAAATATAGCAATTTCCCACCCAAGAAAATATAGTGCCAAGAACATTATCCAGGCAGCGATAACTTTCCAGCCGAAACTTAATTCAGAAAACACATTAGCAGTTCATAAGCATATTTTCTAGGAGACAAGGTTCAAAATTCTAAATTAAAATGTTCAGTTTGTCACTAGCATGCACCCTATGTGTGTTTCTCGGATTTATCTTGTTTATTTATTTATTTATTGATCGTATTTTTACAAAATGCTTTTCTATAATATAAATGGACTTTTATATACCACCTTTCTACATGCCACATTCACCTCCTATTCATCACAAACAGAATCTAACTCATCCACATTCATACACTGATCCCAGGAGCAATTTAGGGTTCAGCATCTTGCTCAAGGACACTTTGACATGCAGGAAGAGGAGCCGGGGATCAAAGCGCCAACCATCTGATTAGTGGACGACCTGCTCTGTCTCCTGAGAGAGCCATCCCTTCTGTCTGCACTTAAGGGGAAAATGCTATTTGTTCATTTTAATTGATCAGATTTAAGGTATGACGTGAAATGTGTCCATTTTAAATCTACCTCCCCAAGACAGGACGGTACGTTGGCTCAGCCAGTGAATCAACCCAGCACAGGTGGGAGTTAAGGGACAGAGAGGTATTAAAGGGCCAGTGTGTATGATTTAGTTGCCTCTAGTGGTGAAGTTGCAGATTGCAACTAACTGAACATTGCTCGCAGTTGTATTTGACAACTGGAAATTAGAACGGGCTGTGAAGTGTGTAGGAGAAACTATGGTGGCTGCAAAACTTGTGGATAATGCAAATGGCCCAATCTACAGCCAGTGTTTGGTTTGTCTGTTTGGGGCTGAACACTAATGAAAACATACCTATGGATATTATATTCCATTTCTGCCAATAGATCCTCCTAAATGTAACACAGTGGACCTTTAATGCAGACTATGCATCTCACTTGAGGTGGTTGTATAATAAGTTTTGCCGTGGGTATTATGGCCCCTAAACTGTGACTACACATCTGGACTGTGGCTGCATAAAGACCATAAGAACATTAATCTGCTGGTGCTGTTTGTAGAAAAAGCCCAATTCCACTGCAGATGTTGTCCACTCTCTGCTTGCTCACAAAGTGAATCAAAATACAACTACTCAAGGTATATGACGAATTACACACCAGTTTGTTGTTGCACTACTGCATTGATAAATCGTACTCTGGATAAATCAGTTCTTTGACTGTAGGCCTGTACACTAGGACCACTGAAACATCTTGAGTAAGAAGAATAAATCTCTCTTTAGAGCCTTTTCCCCTTGTCATCCTTATAATTTATTTCATAAATACACACTATTTACAATGTGCAGTGACCTTTTATTTACCAATGCTGTTTACAGTGTTTAGTTATCTTTAATTTAAATAGGTATTCAATGCTTTTTTGTAACTCTGAAATACTTTATAGCATTGGTTTTGAAACCACTGTTACTATATACTTGTACTTAGTTCCTCACAGGCATGCTGGGATGTGATGTCTTACTGCACATGTAGGTCAGTCATGATTGTGACCGGCCTGGCTGGTATCAGCTTTACGGCACAGACCACACTGGGAGTGACAATCGATAGAAGCGAGCAGTGAGGCAGTGGAAGTGTTACTGAATTTGACAATGAATATATTTAGCATCTTAATATCTTCATCTTTTGCTCCTCAATAATCAGAATCAGAACCCTGCTGGTTGTCTTAATAGCTTTCCAGATCGCGGATGATTTTTCCAATATAATCTGTTTAATGCAATGTGCTTGTGCTGTTTAAAGAAGCAGACCGGAGTACCTGCACTATAACTAATACACTAATACCTCATATTGTACAACGGCAACTTAAAAAAACCTGAACTATCCCTTTGAATATGACACGTTGATCTTTTGTGTTTATGTTTTTATTTTTCCTTTTTAAATTAATTGTAGTAGATAAAGTTTGTAACTGTACTACTGTACGTTATTTAGGTGTTAGATCTGATTTAGGTTGGTGTCCTGTACCGTCACATTGTCATAGCTGGTAGTTTATAGGTTATTGTGACAATATATATATATCAGACTCATACCAATTTGTAATCTTGTTTCTCCTATCCTATGTTTATTTTTTTTCTCCTATATGGACAAATATGTGCAATGTTATTGCCCTGGCAACAGCAGTACGAACACCTCTGGTACACATACCCCTGGCAAGGAATCATTGCACTAGAGCACTACATTTGCATTAATCCACAGCTGAAAAAAAGTCCCTAACAAATTCCCTATTAACTCTTGTCTGAGTAGCATTTACTAAAAGCTACAGTACCCAGATGTTTTAGGGAACTTACTGAGGCGTTTTAAAATATTTCTGACTAGAAACAAAGAGGCTTGCGTTGAGTCAGGTGGTGTTGACAGACAGATAATATAATTATTGCATTTCTGTTCATGGGATTTGTTGACAATAAAAAATACATAATAATGATTCCCTTATTCTTTAAAAAGGAGTCAAACTCATGTCTTAATAATATTTATGTGAATAACAATGACCTTTCAATGTTTTGAGTGAAGGCAGCACTCCACTGTTATCAGTGATCTTGTTGTCATATTCTCAGCTCCACCTATAGAATACTGTGTGCTTGTTTCACTTGCGTGCTGACACCCGTGTTAAATTTACAGCTTCAACCGGTAAAATCTTGATCACAGTCAGCCCATTTTTACTGCTTACATTAGACTTTCATTAACTGCAGACCAGGTCTCAGAATGAGAGACTGCAGACCTCCTTTCAGTGGATCGTCAGGTGATAGGTCTTGTATTGAGATTTACTGCAGGCGACGGGGCCTTCCACCCAGTGTGTGCCTCATTGTTCCATTACTGTATTACTGTATTTGACTTTATAACAGGATTTTACCTTTGATCAATTCAACCAAGCCGTAACTTTTCAGACATGGGGGTAACAAAAAGTAAGAAGTATGTGGATAATGAATTCTATTTCCAACATTTTACATGTGTATATCAATCTAGAAATTATTAAATATTTCATATCATGCTTTTTAAAGAGTAGTATAGCAAAAGTAAGTTGCTGTACAATAACTTTTTTTTTTTTTGACAGGGACCATGTGTAAGTAAGGGATAATGCTCGAGGAGGTGTCCATTATCTTGTTACTACTCCAGTAAATAGGACAAACCTTAGATACAACTTGGCAGGGTTGGAGACATTCTAGTCCACTCCTCTGATAGTCTGATAGACTTTCTGATAGAAAGCTAACCTTAGCTAGCAAGATTCAAAGGGGCGGTGTTGGAGCTTGTTACAGTCGCCACCCTGTGTTGATCAGAGGATAAGGCACTAAAGGATTACACTCAGTATAGTAAGATGTATTTATTACATAATCAGCTTTCATTCAATTTATTTCAGTGCATTGATTTAGAACAGACTGTTACACTCGAACTTACATCAGGAATTTATGGACACCCTGCAGAATCAAATATTCACCCAGACAATGGTATAATGGTAGATATTTAATGTGTATCTTCACTAAAGAGGGAAAGTCTGGAGTATTTTTCAGCCTTGAGTGGTGTCTGCAGTCTTTCTCTTGGGCTGCAGGAAGAACTTCTGCCTCTGAGGGGTTTGGGCAGTAGCCTGTATGTAGCCTTGAGGTAAAACGCAGGTCAAAACAAAGACGATCAATAAGTCACCTGCTTATTAAGGTTATTGGTTTGTATGAGCACACTATAATAACTGAAGGGCACGTCACACATTTTTATCACCTTCTCTTTTGTCTCATCTGAATTTTAACAGCTAGACAGTCAGAAGAAGCTGTTTAGAGAGACTGGAAAAATGAGTAAATTAATCGGAATAAATAAAAGTGAGGGGAAAGAAATTGTATTTTAAAAGTGAACCCCACTGGAAATTCTGCCCCCTCAATTACAAGTTAGGGTCTGGATTTTCTTCCGTTGGAGTAAATCATCTTTAGAAACACTGACTAAATTATTATTATCATGAACGTTTAAAGTACATGTCCCACTTTGCCCACTAATCTGAATTTTAATGAAATAAAAATAAAAATCACAGGTTTCACAGGCCTATTATGAGATAAATGAGTTTTAATTTGTTCTCTAAAAGAGAAATATATTAACTTTCTTGCCAGTATCAGATTTGCATCAGTATTAGTTTTGCATCAGTGCTGCTGCTGGCAAACAGCTGCAGAACAAACAGGTGTCTGTGATCCAACAGGCCAAAGCCATTGATCAGTGAGGGTGGCGATGTGCCACACTGCTGGAAAATCTATGACACATTATTAAAATGAGGAAACGGAGCGAGCAGGCCTCACCTGAGCAGCATCACCTACCCATCTTCTGAATGCAGTGCAGTTACTTTTATAACCAGATGGGGGCGACACATCAAACACTAAATCCTCAGCACAGGAGGCATTCCCAGCATTCACAGCGTCTGTATGGGACAAAATGAGAGCAAATGAGGGGTGCGTCACATCAATCCCTTTAAACACATATTAAAACGCTTTATTTTAATCCAACAAATGGGATTAGTGCACATGAGATTCAAGGTTTTTCCAGTGTTTGGACACAGGAAGCAGTGTCTCAGCCACATGGCCAGACTACCAACGACAGCTGAGACGGAAGCAGGGGCCCTGCCAACTGTCTGGCTCATTCTCTAGTAGGCCTGCTTCCCTTAGGCCACTCACAGCCAGTGTAGGAACATGTCCAAGACTGTCAAATATCAGCACTCACACACTCTTGCAGTCCCACATATTAATCTACACACAGTGATGAGACTTAAGGAGGAATGCTTGATTTGCTCTTTTCATGCAGGTGGCAGGGGTACTTTTACAGCTGCTCAACCACACCCCAGTTTGCATACATTACTGTGAATCAATCAATCGAGTGAGTGGGCTTCTTTTTTTTCCTTTATAAATACTGAATAATAAATTGCATTAGAAGGCTGCTGGATTCAGCTGAATGAGAACTAATTGAGACTGAATGTTCTATCAATACACGATAACTTACAGTTTGAAGGATCCTTAATTACCAGCTGGCTTTGTGGAGCGATGGGGATTGTTTCAAAGGGAAAATTGTAAAAGCATCATAAATGCATTTCACTATTGAGACATCAAGGGACGTGTCCCTTAATGTGCAGAATCTTTTGTCCTATAATGTCTGTCAAACATGAAATACAGTTGAATAATACATTACATTCAATTATGCACTTTCCAGAACACAAATAGCACATTTAACATCTGCAGCTGAATATATCGCATTAACTTAACTCATGTTGAGACTGTTGAAATCAAACATCAT